AGAAGTAATACTAAGCCTTCTTTATATATGTCTGTATACATGTTCCAGAAATTATGTAAAATTCCTGGAAATCTGATGTGTCCTAGTATAATGGCAGTGCTTGTAATTCTCATCACTATCTTAAAATGTATGTCACAAAAATAACCAAATGTCTTTGTCAATTATAATGAACTCTCATCAGATCTTTACCCAGGTCATTTTTAAGTCTTTAATCATTTATCAGTAGTTATTGCTGTACTCTGAGACTTCTACAAAAGTTTCCTACAACTGTGCCTTATCTTCAGAGGAATTCCTGGAAAGGAATCTGACAAGTACTCTCGAATACAGATTATGGATAAATTTCGGATCATACAACTGAACTGGTAAGAACAAAGACTGCCCTTGAACGTCCTTGGAAGGGACTAAGGGCAGGTCCTCCTCACCAGCCAGACAAACTTCAGGGGCTTAAACCTTGGATGTGCATGTTGGAGCTGGAGAAGGCTCCACCTGACATCTGGTCCTACACAGTGCTGGAGACCTCCCATCCAAGTGACGAGGAAGAGAAGTAGCCCACATTGAGGTAGATTGCTTCCTCCAAGATGCCCAGTCGAGAGCTCACACTTTTTTTTTTTCCCAAGCATGGATTATTTATTTATTTATTTATGTAGTGTTCCATGATTCATTACTTGTGTATAACACCCAGTGCTCATTACAATACGTGCCCTCTTTAATACCCATCACCGGGCTCACCCATCCCCCCCACCCCCCACCCCTCTGAAACCCTCAGTTTGTTTCCCGGAGTCCAGAGTCTTTCATTGCTTTGTCTCCGCCTCTGATTTCCCTTCATTTCATCTGTCCGTTCATTACCTTCATTTTTCCCTTCCTTCTCCGAACGTCCTCCATGTTATTCCTCATGTCCCACATATGAGTGAAACCATATGATAATTGTCTTTCTCCGCTTGACTTATTTCACTTAGCATAATGTCCTCCAGTTTCATCCATGTCGATGCAAATGGTGGGTATTCATGTTTTCTGATGGTTGAATAATATTCCATTGTATATATGGACTGCATCTTCTTTATCCATTCGTCTGTTGAAGGGCATCTCGGCTCTTTCCACAGTTTGGGTATTGTGGACATTGCTGCTATGAACCTTGGGGTGCATGTGCCCCTTCTTTTCACTACATCTGTATCTTTGGGGTAAATACTCAGTAGTGGCAATTGCTGGGTCAGGGGCCTCACACTTTAACTGAATAGGAAACCTTTCTTTTTTTCACTCTGGCACTGGCCTGGAAAGATGACATCATCGGTGTCTCTCAGGCCATTGTGGAGGGAGGTAAACTTGGCCTTTCAGACTGCTGGACTTGTCATCCAAAACTCCTATCTGTCCATTCACCGTGCCACCTTGGTGGAAGAGGTTTGTGCCCTGACCAGGCTTGTCCTTTGTCTTTGTGGTTAGCACTCTCCTTGGGCCTGTGAATGTTTCGATGGCTGGGACATAGCCAGGCAATGCCTCTTAGGGTATCTCACCTCACTGTGCCCCCAGCTTTTTATAAGTGAAATCAGACATGATTGGTTGACCCCCCTGGATTTACATCTTCGAGTTAGAAAAGACCTACTAGGAGGCATTCACAACTCAGGATTTGCTTCCTTTGGCAGAGCCATACTTCCCTGGTTAGGAGGAAATATAAATAAGAATATGATCAAGGGCATCTGGGTGGCTCAGTCTGTTAAGCGTCTGCCTTCGGCTCAGGTCATGATCTCGGGGTCCTGGGATCGAGCCCCACATCGGGCTCCCTGCTCGGGCGGGAAGCCTGCTTCTCCCTCTCCCTCTGCCCCTCCCCCTGCTCATGCTCTCTCTTACTCTCTCTCTCAAATAAATAAATAAAATCTTAAAAAAGGAGAATATGATCAGAAACCTTTCCTTAACTCTTACAGATACCCACAGACTCTGTCACTAAGACAATAGCTGCCCAACAAAGATCCTTCCAGCTCTCCAGCCAAAATTGTTCTTTATAATCGGATAGGCTCTGATTATCTTTTAGCTGAGCAAAGAGGTGTCTGCGACACCACCTGCTGCACATGGATTAACCCTTCTGGGGAAGTTGGAACTCAACTGTACAGGATCACTGAGCAAGCCACTGGGCTTAAAACGGTGACTCTTTCAGCGAGGTCTAGCTTTGTCTTACTTGATTCTGATTGGTTTGGGTCTTGGAGACAAGGGCTCTGAAGTGCACTCCAGAGGTCAGGGACTATCCTGTTTATAATAGGCACAATAATCTCCCTGGTGCATTTTCCTCCCTCAAAAGCTTTAAATGCATGTTTGCCGCTGCTAACCACCAGGCATGTGATCTCCTGAAGACTGGACTGTTAGAAAAAGAATGAAGAGGACAACTGACTTAAAAATTAGGAACTTCGGGACCCCTGGTTGACTCAGTCGGTAGAGTATGCAACTTTTTTTTTTTTTTTTTTTTAAGCATGCGACTCTTGATGTCTGGGTTGTGAGTTCAAGCCCCATGTTGGGTGTAGGGATTACTTAAAAACAATTGTGAACCTGAAGTTGTAACCTGTGACTAACCATAGTTGTAGAATGCCTTACATTTTGATCACCTGTCTCAGTTAAGCTTAGAATCTAATCAAAAGGGAGATGTTGCTGAAAAGAAAACCACAGGCCCCACATAGAGTCATTTATGTAAAGGCCCCACATCAACAAACCAAGACTTAATACCTAACCTAATTGTTGTTTCAATCCCCCCAGAAATGTGACCTCTAACCAGTCAACCTGGAAGTCCCTGGGCAGCACTAGGAAATTTATAGATAGACCCCTCCTGTGCCCCATAGGAGGGAGACCTTACCTAAAACAATACCCTCTTTGCTGATAATCCCCTCCCCTCCCCCTCCTCTCTGCATTTACAAATCCTTCTTTTTCTTTTTCTACAAACCTTTCTGTTTGCTAGGTGGGATGCTGCCCAATGCAGGAACTGTTCAATAAAGCCAATTTGATTTTTTTTTTAAAGATTTTATTTATTTAATTGAGAGAGAGAGAGAGAGCACAAGTGGGGGGGAGGGATAGAGGGAGAAGCAGGCTTCCCGCTGAGGAGGGAGCCTGATGCTGGGATCATGACCTGAGCCAAAGGCAGATGCTTAACCAGGCAGATGCTTAACCGACTGAGCCACCCAGGTGCCTGCTAATTTGATTTTTTAAATTACTCAGTAAAATTTTTATTGTTTAACATCGCCAGTCCACAGGTGAGAAAAAGGAGGCTGTCAGAGAAGTAAAATAACTTGCCCAAAACAACCCAGACAGAAGTTGGCAGCATCTTGCGCTAGGGCAAGGAACAAGAGGTGGGGTCAGCATCTTGCTGGGCTTCCCAGAACCCAGTGGGACTGCCCAGGACCTCTCAAAAGTTCAAAGGACCTGCTAGTTTCCGGGCCTCCCCAGATGATCCCTGCCCTGCCCCCAGGGAACATTTCTTTGCTCCTTAGAGAGCAGCTCTGTGGGGAAAAGGTGGCAGAAGGTGGGGCGGAGGAACCACTCTTTAAGAGGCTCCTGAAGAGAGTGTGACCTCTCAGACAGAATTTGTAGAGGGCAGAGGAAGGAAGAGGGAGGTGGCCGGAGGAGATGATTTCTGGGAGGCAGTGGGAGCGGCAGGGGAGGGAGAGGCTGGCTGACTCAGTTTCATCTTTGAGGCCACAAAGGAGGCAGGGGGCAGGGATGGTGCAGAGAATCAGTCACCAGACTGGGGTGGGGGGGATTGGAATCCCAGCCCCCAGCTAAGCATAAGAGGGGTGGGTTGGTGTCCTGCAAATGGAAGGAAACCTCGGAGCAAGGCTGCAGGAGGAACTCGAAGCCAGCCCTGCCTCGCCCCGCCCTGCCCCTCCCTTCCCCTCCCCAGGACAAAAGTGCACACACACGCAGGAAGGATCTAGATGTATTTAAGGTCAACAGGTCCCTAAGCTAAGAGGATTTAGAGGCTGTCTCTGGCCAAGAGGCTAAAAAGCTTGCACGCACAGGACCCATTGTATAGGCCGGAGAGACCAGAGGGGAAGCCATGGAAAGATATGGAAGGATAGGCGATGTGCAGTTGAGGGGGAAGCCATGGAAAGATCTGGAAGGATAGGCGATATGCAGTTGAAGGGCTGCCGTAGGTGGTCTGGGCTTCTCACTGCAGCGAGAGGCTGGGGGAGGGGGATCTGGGGGTAGAGACTCCAAGGTCCAGAACTGGGGGACCGAGCGTCCCTTGATCCTTTCTGGGAGGGCAGTAGTTTGGCAGGCAGCAAGTCTCTAACAATAAAAATGATTTGAACCAGAACGCCTTCTAGGCAGGCAGGAACTCACCTGTTGCCACAGTCCTCAGCCCTCCTGGCCTCACACCCAGGAGGGTCCGTTCATTTCTATGATCTGCTAGCTGGTGGAGGTGATGGATTTTTGACCTTTGAGACGCCTGCATTGTCACCTTTGGAGACCCCAGGGGAGGAGAGAGGAGGCTAGGGCCCTGTGGGCCCCTAACTTTGCCCAGCGCGGTCTCCTCCCATGCTGCTCCTTGGTACCCTGCTCAGTACAGTCCGCCGGGAGGGCCTGCTGTGCCTTTAGCATCCCTCGTGCCGCACATAAGTGTCGACAGTGCCCTCTAGTCTTTGTGACAGTCACACATTCTTCCCTGGAAGTAGGGTGACACCCTGAGAGCTAGTGGGGCCCCTCTTTGGGGCTGGGGAAGTGATTTCCACCCCCGCCAGAATTTTCTTGGCATAGAAACACGGGACATGGAAGCCAGCGGCATGGGCTGTTTATTATAATAACGCCCCCAAGTGAGGCAGAGAAGAGAGGGGCTGGGCCAGGAGGCCAGTGAGCGGGCGGGTGTGAGCAGGAAAGTGTGGAGAGCCTCCACACCCACTGCGGAAGTGACACTTAATCTCGGGAAAATATACTCAGAGAGAGAGAGAGAGAGAGACACGGGGGAATCCAGCCAGCAGAAGCAGGCTGGGGAAAAAGAGAAACACGTTGGGCTGGGAGGGTGGCGATGGACGAAGCTCAGCATCCGGGGCCCGGGTGCTTCTAGCTGGAGCCCATTCCATCAGCAGAGACTGCAGAGGCGAGCACAGCAAGGAAGGCCCTGCTCTGGGGCCAGAAGCCCCACACTGGTGGTGGTGGTGATGGGAGCCAGGCTCCTGGAGCTCCTCTATCCCCACATGGTTGTCTGCAGCCACTGTGGGGAGAAAAGAAGCAGATCCAAGGATGGGGGGGGTGGGCAGGATGGCTGGGGGAGCCGTGAGTGGGAGTGCCAGAAAATCCCTTCCAGGTACCTGGTTCAGATTCAGGTGAATATAGCCAGTATTCTTGGGGTCCATGGACAGAAAGTAAGCTGTTTCGGAGAGGAGGCAAGGGGGGCGGTTTGGGAGCTGAGTCTGTGGTCTGCAAGACCCACTCCCAAAGAGGCAGGATGTCAGAAAGGGCGTAAGAAGCTGTCCCTTCCTGCTTCTCAGCTCACCCTCAGCCCCGGAAAGACTTAAGGATAACACCTCATGGCCTTGCTAGGAGCCATATGCTAAGTGTCGCCATATGCGAACCCCTGTGTTCTGGACCCCCATCCTAGGAGGTCAATACTGTTGTTGTCCACATTTTATTTTTTATTTTTATTTTTTTAAAAGATTTTATTTATTTATTTGACAGAGACAGACAGTGAGAGAGGGAACACAAGCAGGGGGAGCGGGAGAGGGAGATGCGGGGCTCGATCCCAGGACCCTGGGATCATGACCTGAGCCGAAGGCAGACGCTTAACGACGGAGCCACCCACGCGCCCCTGTTGCCCACATTTTATAGATGAGAACAGAGGACAGAGCCACAGAGAGATAAATGACTTGCTCAAGGCACAGAGCCAACAAGTGGTGGAGCTGGGATTTGAACCCAGATCATCTGTGCTCTTAAGGGGCCGTGGTTTGGGAGCAGAGTGCTCCTCATGTGGGTGTGTGGGAGGCTGCCCTGGTCCTTAGCCCAGGGTGGGGAGTGGGCAGATGACGGACTCACTGAACATGGCCTTCAGCCTCAGGAAGCAGCTGATGAAGCTGTCAAAATCCACGATCATGTCGTCGTTTGCGTACCTGGCCACCAGCACCTGCGACACCTTGTTATTCAGCTTGATGCCTGGGAGAGAGAGGAGTGCGGACGGGGAGTCCAGCCCTCTGGCCACTGCTTCCTCCCTCCCTGCCCCCAAACCCTCTCCTGACCCCCTGCTAACCTGCTTTTTCGATTGCCAAGCGCATCTCATAGGAGTTCAAGCTGCCTGAGTGGTCCTCGTCACACTCTCGGAAGATGTCCTGAAGGGACAGACAGGTGAGGTAGGGCCGTGTGCATAGGGTGGTGGTTGAAATAATGAAATGCTTTCGTACAGTTAACCTACAAGGGCTACCCAAGACCCAGGGCTGCCTACCCTGGCCCACTCCCTGAGTGCCCAGTATTCCTGTCATCTAGTGACTGTAGGGGACGTCTGGCAAGGGAGCGGGTTGGAAACTGAGTCAGTAGTCGGAAAGACCCACTCCCAACTGGGCCTTCCGCATGTACCCTTTAAGCGGGCTGATGCCTGGAGTGTACTGATTGTTAACTATTTTGGCCAGCTAATACACAAACACTTCCACAGATCCTGTCCTGTCCTGTGTATGTGTGTGTCTAGTCGGGGGCTCCCGTTCTAGCATCATCCTTACTAATCCCCATCACTCTTGAGGACCGCCCTCTCTGCCCACCATAAACTGTCCTTTCAATTTTTTTTTTTTTTTTTTTTACCGTCCATTTCTTGATTTTTTTCCACAGGATCTGGAACTCGTGAAGCCCCAGCTTGCCAGAGCCATCTTTCTGGGGGGTGGTCAAGGATGTCAGAGGAGGGAGCGTGAAGAGGGTATCTTGGGGTCAGGGAAGCAGAGGGGCTCACTGAGTGGGGGGCTGTGTGAGACCAGGGGTTCCTGTGTGGTCACTATGTTAACAGCCAGAATGGCATCTTTTGCTACCTTAGAGTCTAATCCCCAGCAAGAAGGAGGGCATGGCTGGCCAGAGACGTGGCCACCTCTGGGGGCCAGGCTTGGGGTGGGGGTCAGGGGTGGGAGAGCGCTGGACAAGAAGATACATCCATGAGGTTGACCATACAGCGGCACACGTCTAGGCCGAAGCCCGTGGTCCTGAAGTTTCTGACTGTGAGGGAGGGAAGGGGCGGGAAGACAGAAGGAGTGAGTGGGGCATTGTGGGGGATGCAGGGAATGGTCGAGGTGGGGCAGAAGCTGTAGGGGAAAGGTTGTGAGTGGCAGGGGGCAGGGGGAGGGTTGGAAGACTCACGTTTGGTGACCACCTTGTTGAGCAACTTCTGTAGCTCATACATGCCGATCTCCTTGCCCTAGGAAGGGGGACCGTCAATCTCTTCTCTGGCACCTTCACCCTGGCCACCTCCTTTGGGCACCCAACCCTCAGCCTCTCACCTCTCCTCCTGCCACTATCTCAAACAAGTGTATGAAGTCCTGATCTATGTCCTTCTCAGAGAATTTCTCCTGCAGGGAAAGGAGTGAGAAGGGGACCCAGTCCCGAAAGTTCCTTCACACTCCCCAGATGCTTCCTCTGATCCCTCCACCCCACGGCCTCCCCTCACCTCTTGGAGTAGCTCAGCATAGTTGGCTTCATCCAGTTCCCTGAGCAAAAGTGGAGGAAGTCTTGGGAGTTATCCGGGATCAGGGAGACAGGGATTTTAGTGGGGTGGTTGTGAGATCATGTCATGTATCTGAAGCAACGTGGAACAGGCTGCATGGGATCTGGGTTCTGATTCTGGTTTGCTCCCAACTGGGACTCCCCGTCCTTGTGCCTCAGTTTCCCTGACTTAAAATAGAGGTAGATTTGGGGAGGACCCGATGACTGCTCCCTAAGCGTGTCATCCTACAGCTCTTGGGCAGGTGGCCTTGGAGCAGCGAGGCAGGGCTTCTCACCAGGACTCGCTGTGCTTCTCTGTGAAGACCCGAAGCAGGAAGTCAGCATCCCTGTGTGGCTCAAAGGTGGAGGGAATGATGACATATTCCCCCGGAGGCAGCCGGAGATGGCTGCTCACCTCACGTGAGTTAGTAAAGATCTCTGAGAAGCCATGGTCCTGATACTTTATGAAGAAGTCCTTCTTCAAGCGAATATCCTGGATGTTCTGAAACTGTATGTGCCTTGGAGGTGGGTACAGGGCTGGCATGGGAGGGTAAGGCGAGAGGGACCCCGAAAGTGAAGCCTGGCTGGGCAAGGGTTGCGGGAGGTGTCTCCACAAACTGACCAGTCCTGGACACCACCCACCTGGCAGGTAACCCCAGTATGATCTCCTGCCCCAACTCCCACCTGGGGCCCTAGGGCACTGGAATCCTAACCCAGCGGCCCTGAGAGCCCTTGGCTGAATTCCACCCTTTGCCCATCCACATGCAGCCAGAGGTGGGGTAGCGCCTGCCCAGAATCAAGCCCCACATCTTCTGTACCTCTTTTGGGACCTAGGAAGAGAAGAGAGAGGGAAGTCAGAGCCCCAGGATGGTGAAGGGGCTCAGGCCTGTACAGGCCAGGTACTGTGTGTGTGTGTGTGTGTGTGTGTGTTGGGGGGTGTTAAGGGCCCTGGGACACTGGTGCCAGGGTGGGGCATGGGCTCGAATAGCTAAAAGTCCTAGCATTAATATTGATAGTCCCTAAGTTTGGGAGAGCAAAGTACAGTTTATACAAAGTTTTGCCAGTGGGGGGACATTTCTACCACGGCAGGTTAAGGACAAGAAACCGAATCCCAAGAGGTGAGGTAACGTGCTCAACGTCACACTGCTAAAAATCAGCTGGGATGAAAATCTAGGAGAGCATTTTCCTGAACGTGAGCATTTTCCATGGAACATTCCTATCCTGCAGGAAGGTAATAGGTGATTACCGAAATGGAGCGTTAAACATAGTTCTGTAAAATAGTTCTGTAAAAAGGTGGGTTAGAGGGGCGCCCGGGTGGCTCGGTCGTTAAGCGGCTGCCTTCGGCTCAGGTCATGATCCCAGGGTCCTGGGATCGAGCCCCACGTCAGGCTCCCTGCTCAGCGGGAAGCCTGCTTCTCCCTCTCCCACTCCCACCCCCTGCTTGTGTTCCCTCTCTCGCTGTGTCTCTCTCTGTCAAATACATA